TGTTGTAAGTTTATGCCTCCAAGAGAAAGCATTTTGAGCATTTATTTTGATGACAAAACATGAATCATAGTGGAGGAGGTAGAGAGTAGTTATTTCCAAAGTAAAGATTCTGATTATTTAATAAAAGTGCAAAGAATACCCAGCTTCCTTCTCTTGTCCCTATATTATCATAAAATTGTCACATTGCAGAAGTGTTTCATTGAGATCTGTCTTCAAACAGATCACAGGACTCCCTAGGTCTGGAAATATGTATAGTATCCCTGCCTCTAATTTTTAACTGCATTGGTCTTGTTCTAGTAGGCAAGCTGTTGTTGGCTCTTCCTTTTTTCTGTTTTGATTTATTCCTTCTCACTTTCAATTTTAAATTAGCAGAAATGGCTATGGATTGTACAGATACCTAACTGGGCTACATGGAGGTTGCAGCAGTAAAAAATTATCAAAATCCTTGAAAACTATTGTTTGAGGTCAACTTGTCCAGAAATTTATATATGCACATAGAGGACATACTCAACATCTTTCTATAGTCTTAGTCAGTTGTCCAGCTCCAGTAACAAAAAAAAAATCTAAGAAGTCATAAATGCTTTGGCATAGGGAGCCAAGATTGGTTCCAAAATATGTTGGAACCAGTCTCAGCCTCAGTGAAGGCAGTCCTCAAATTTGTACTGAGGTGAGGGAGTCTGAATTTTTTAATTGTGAAATGCAGGTAGCAACTGTAAGACACTTAGCGCAACAGGGCTGCAGAGCTATCCTACAGAATCAAGATGGAATTTCAAGGGTCCCTGTTGTGTGAAATGTGGGGCTTCTGCAGAATTAGGACAATTACCTAAATGCCACAGTGTTTCATTTTTCAGTGATCCTTTGAGCTTGGCTTATGTACTGGCCTGTGAAAATTTTGTTCCCAGGAATACTGAATCAAAATAGTTCTTTGGGATGTGTCATTTGTTTCCTTGTCAGAGTTTTGCATATGAGAATGGAGACTCTTGTAATTTGGAATGCTCTTCTGTTGTATTAATTGTATTGTTCTCTCTCAATTGCTCATAAATGGAGCTATTATCATTCAAATAAATGACTGCAGTTGTATCTAGAAGATGCAGTCTGATTAAAATCTGTTCTAAAATCTTCTATAAAAAATCACTGGAAAGGTAAATAGATTTTACGAACCAGACTAACTTGTTTGATGTGCCTGCTTTGTACTTCTCTTATGAAGCAAGTCAACTTTATACACTATGCAACCAGATACTTAAATAGGCTTTGCTTCACCAGAATTGCTCAAATGGTGCAATATATCCTCATATAATCCTAGTATATCCTAAATCTTTATTTCTTAAATATTTATTGTCACTTATGTACACATTTTTATTAGTTTCACCCTAGCATGTCTGGTGAAATCATACTGTTAAATACCTAACTACAGAATCATATATCAGGACAGCATAGAGGGGAGCAGAATCTTTTCTTCACATATGGATATTCTGCCACTAAAACAAGTTAAACATGAGCCAGCAGTGTGCTCTTGTGGCCAGGAAGGCTGATGGTATCCGGGGTTGTATTAGGAAGAGTGTTGCCAGCAGGTTGAGAGAGGTGATCCTCCCCCTCTACTCAGACCTGGTGAGGCCCCACCTGGAGTACTGTGTCCTGTTCTGGGCTTCCCAGTACAGGGAGGACATGGAAATGCTGGAATGTGTCCAGCAAAGGGTAACTAAGATGATTAAAGGACTGGAGCATCTTTCATATGAGGAAAGGCTGAGGGAGCTGGGCCTGTTCAGCCTGGAGAAAGGATGACTCAGAGGGGATCTGCTTAATGTTTATAAATATCTAAAGGGAGAGTGTCTAGAGGATGGGGCCAGACTCTTCTCATTGGCACCCAACAAGAGGACAAGGGGCAACGGGCATAAACTGCAGCATAGGAAGTTCCACCTGAACATAAGGAAGAACTTCTTTACTGTGAGGGTGACTGAGCACTGGTACAGGTTGCCCAGAGAGGTTGTGGAATTTCCCTCCCTGGGGATATTAAAAGCCATCTGGACAAAATCCTGGTTCTTGTGCTCTAGGAGTCCCTGCTTGAGCAGGGTGGTTGTACTAGATAACCTTCAAAGGTCCCTTCCAACCTCAACCATTCTGTGATTCTACGAATTTAACTAGATGAGAGAGTGAGCTTTAAAATGCCACAGAAAAAAAGAAAACAAGCCATTATAACCATGGAATTCAAGCTGACAAGAAAATATGTAGCTTTACCTCTTTATCACCTCCAACAATGACAACAAGAGAGCACAACAGGTATATTTCATGATTACTCCTCAATAGTAATCTTTAGAAAATCCAGATATATTGCTGGATATTGAACCTACTAATTATAGAGGTATAATTTTCATAATTATTCTGATTATATCATCCACTTGCCCTGTACCATTAGATGAGAAATATCAATTCCAGAAACTTCATTACAATTTTTATTGCTCATCAGAAGCATTTCTTACTCTCAAAATATTCAGTATAGAGACAAAACAGGGAAAACATGCTGAGTGCAATGAAAAGCAGTGGAATGCCAAAGTGCAAATACTGAATAAGGTTGTTTATAAAAAAGCTACTTCTTAATATTTCCTTATTGCCATAAAATCCAACAACTCAAAGTTTATATTTTGAATTTGCTAGTATACTTTCTTTGTACTCAATTCTTATTTTTCAGTCACACTAGGGTCTTCCTTTTTATTTTGTATTTCCTTATCGCCATTTCAATAGAGATAGATACTGATAAGTGTATAGCAGATTACAGTTTCAGTACTAAAGACAAACAGTAACAGTGACTGCAACAGGCATTGTATTTCTGTTAAGTTGTGGAATTCCAATTCCAGTCATTTACATAAAGTAAATATTCTATGCCTCTTAAAAAGCCCAAGTGTCTTGGAAAATCTTCAGACAAATGAACTATACTGGATTGCTGATGCAACTCAAAGGAACTGTGCTGAATTATACCAGATATGAATCTTTCCCATTTTCGGTTGCCAAAATATTTCTACATACAGCTTAAATTTTTAACCCTGTGCTCTTCTTGCCATGTTCTTAAGCTGTGGACTGTTAAACAGCTTCCGTATCTCTCCAGAGATGCAAATCCCTAGCTCCTGTACAAATGAGGGCAGAATGTTCTACATAAATGGGAGACAATGTCATCACTTAGCACTGTGGGAAGCATTTCAAAAGCTGAAATACCCTTGCCTTCAAAAGCAGGAAAGCTTTTAAAGAAGTCTGAGGCTATCCACCATCCTTGTTTGCAAAAATCTGGTAAACATTTGATCCACTGGAGTTCAGTTTTCTTCAAAGCCATGCACACCTTAGCCTAGCCCCACCTACAGTCCTTTGTGTTAAAGGTATCCAGTTGGGGGATATCACCTCAACCTATAAATCTGCATATCAAAACATAGTCTATATCATAGACTATATCATAGTAAATATTTCTTTCCAAGCAAATCAATAAATATAATTTTGACTGTTTAAACTCCATATGTATTTTTATTAGTTAGCTAAAAACACAAAGATTATTTCTAAATTCTCTTCAAACCTTCTGTTTAAACAGTCTATGTTGCAATGCTTGGCCTGCAGCACTTCTATTTTTATCTCTAATGGAACAGTCTTAAATTGCTTATTTTCTGTTTACTAAAGTCATTGAGCTTGTAACCATGGCAACTGTGGCAAGTGCCACAGCTTAACAGTTTTATTAAACGGAGTGAAGGTACAGCTGCAAAACTTGAAAGGCCAGCATGTCAATTGTATACATAGCTCAAACTGCCACATATACCACATTATAGCAAGTACTACATTAAATATGAGGAGCAAGAATCTGATCTTGGTTATAATGATATAAATTTTTACTATATCTCTCCTTAACAGAAAAAAAAAATTAAAAAAATCTTGTGTAACACAGATCAGAGTTCTGTTTTTGTCAACTGCACAGCCTGTCAAGTTCCAGTGATTACTGTATTTGAATGCATAAACTGCAGATGATATACATTGAACCAGTCCCTAGTTATCATGGAAAGACACCATCTCACTGTTGTGTTTGCTTGAAGGTTTTAGCACATTATTGTCTTGCTTACAGCAATCACATTATTTTTGTAACCGCTATATTTTGTTAGGTTAATAAAAGGAATGAAATCAAAACTAATGACATTGTCAAATTAAACTTCTTAAGAGTTAAGAAGAATTAACACAAAGAATTCTTTAAATCTGTAATTAAGCATTTGAACAAGAACACCTTGAGTACCAGAGGTGCTGGGAATTTACACGTTCTGATCATTTCAGTATACGCTTGGTATGCTTCATGTATATGAAAACTAGGGTACTTTTAAATTCATACTTCAAATTGTATATTACAGTTAAGTCAAATTATTCTGAAAATTATTGAAAATTATTACCGCAGTTTAGAATTTTTTTGTGATAAAATATAAAACCCCATAGGATCAGATAACAAATATAATTTTTAACACAAACCTAAACATTATACAGCCCCAAAAGATTGAGCGCTACATAAGAATAGTGATATATTTACACCTATAAATATTTAATGCATTTTTCATCCTGTTGTAATAGAACCAAAAGCTTGAAAAAGGTTTGACATTTAGAAGAATGGGGTTCTGCTTTCTTCACAAGTGTTGTGGTTGGAACAGTGTTCACATTGCTACTTTTGGTGCTAAATGTCTCCATATTGCAAGTCTGTCCACATAGGTACTTCCAGTGAATAAAAAAACAAAAAGTAAAATTGACATTTTAAAGAAGAGATCTTTTGGAAGAGGTAACAGTCTAATAAATTATCAGAAGATGTATTTCTTTCTATTAAAATGTTCCTATTTAAATAAGAATAGTGTGTTCGATGTTCAAACATTAAATCCAAATAAATATTCTTCACTGTCTGTTGGTGTAACTTGAATTACTGGAGTGGAAAAATAGTAAAGTTTCCTTTCATTTATGCATTTCTTTCTTTCTTTCTTTTTTTAATCCATCTGCAGGATCTACCTTCATTTGCAACACCCACATAATTCCAGTGAAAAATCAAGAAGGAGTAGCAATGATGTTTATTATTAACTTTGAGTATGTAACAGATGAAGAGAATGTGGCATCTCCCGAGAAGTGCAAGCCAATATTGCCATCCAAACTTGTAAATCGTAAGTTACTCATTGAAAGTTCTCTTCTTACCTCCTCTTTTAGCTGGGAGAGTAATTAACCTGAGCAATAATGATATAAAATGAATTATGCAATCTCCTGATTCATTTAAGATAGAATTCAAAACAATAAGAAGTTAAATGTAGCAAACCTGTTATAAAGTTGGCAAGATAATCTATCAGAACTCTGGCAGTACTAACAGCATGGATCTTGTGAGTACTGCTAGGAAATAAAAATTAATTAAAAGTAAAACATTTCACAGAAGAGCATTACCCTTGAAAAAATCGATTATGAACAGAAAACTACAAAAAAAAAGTATTATGATATAGCCCAAATATTTCACCTTAGCCTATTCAAAATTGAATATTTCTGTTTTCCTTTTGAAATAATAGTTGGTGGAAGGTTTGATTGGATTAGACTAGGAAATATAAATGTGGAAAAAAAAGTTAAAGCATAATTAAACATCCTGATTTTATAAAATTTAATTATTTAGATTGGCTTGAAGGATGTGGGGGGTTTTTGATATGCAGGAAATGCTTTTGTTTTCATTCCACTCTGGAATGTAAGTATTGTCAAAATCAGAAAACTCTACACAAAACAAAAGTCCATTTTTATACAGCGAGACTGCAGCTTTCTGTCCCACTATCTGCAGAACATTTGCTCTTTTGCTGACCTTCACTCTGTGCAGCAACAACATGTGATCCTTCTGCTTTGCATCTGCACTCACGTAATCTGTTCTTACTACAAGATTTCCCAGAACATATCCCCATTTGTACAAGCTCTTAGTAAAGCACAGCCACTCTTCCCTGCCTGGCTCAGCAACAGTTGGAAAATACCTTTTCACAGTGTAATAATCTTTAACGTTAGTATGATAAAGGGACCTGGAACCTAGGTTTTCTGATTGTTAAATCAACACTTCAGCTTTCTCTAGATAGGAGACAAAGACCGGTATGATCTTCACTATGAGAAGCAAGGGGAGGACTTTCCGAATGTAAGCACTGTGCACTACCTGAAGTGATGACATGCTGTATTTTCTGCTAGTTATGTTGAGAGGATTGTAAGGAGGAGGCCTGTAGCTGTGCATACAATAGCATTACCAGGTTCCTTCTGATAAAAACAGCCTCTTCCATTCTTCATGATCTAGACTTTTTGCACTATACCTTCTAGACAAAATGCATAGAATATCACTCAGAGTTCAGTGCATATCGAAAAATACATAAACAAAAAGTCTCCCCAAAATATTGCCAAATCACTCACATTTTTAAAAGATTTTACTTCTATAATTAATTGGGAAACTGAAAAATACTATTTTCATTAATAACAGGGAAAAAAAAACTGAATCACTCCAGATGGGCCAAAGTCCTTCCACTTACGTCCATATAATGCTACAATGGCTGTAGATATAAGATTGTGGAAAGGAAAATTCCCATTACTGGAAACTATCAGTCTGCAAATAATTATTGTTTATCAAATACCACACATTATTAAAATAGCCTTTGTAAATGTTCTTTACAATATACATTTAAAATCTTGTGCTTTTATACTTCCTTTTCTTATTCTGTTTTGCAGAGGGGTTTTTAATAACCAATACAGCAGTATTTTTAATTTTTCTTGAGCCAGTAAGAAAAACATTTTTATTTTTCTAGTGATGTTATGGTAAAAATCCCATTAAAGGTTATCAGAAAAAATAATAAAATTGCATCAGAAATAAAATTATTAAAATTACATCAAGTAAACCTCACTCATACTCTGTTTCTATTTCAGAATGCCATGATTTTGTGAATTTTGAACATTTTACTTCCTGGTTTTAAAAAACAATTTTATAACACAAATAAATTTGTTTAGCTGGTCTATGTTTAATGTGGTTTTATTGACAAAATAGAAGGTAAAATACCAGTCGGGTGCAGGGGGGGCGGAGCTTCATGTCCTGAAAAAGAGCTTTTTGTTCCACTATCTGCAATACATCACTGTACATTTTCAAGTGTTGTCACTTGCCATATTTTAAAGTGAAAAGTTGCAAAAGAGGACAGCCACAAAAAAGCACTTAGTCAAAACATCCTTCTCTAGTTTTACTGTAGTTAGGCCTGATATACACAGAGGATTTGCTTGCTGGGAGTTCTTGAAAAATGAATAGGTGGGGCTCCAAGTTTAGTATGTAACAAAGAAAGATCAAGGTGCAAAAGGAGGCAAAGAAAGGTGACTTGAACCATTTTCCTGCTACTGGGCACAGTCAGATGCCAGAAACTGGCAGAAACTAGAGCAGGCACATGGCTGCTCTTACTCCTACCTAGATGCTTGTGGTTTCAGAGCAGACTGTTATGTGGGCAGGATGGGAAGAATGGGGATACAAAATATGCTACATAGCCAAAAAAATTACTCTGGGAAGAGAGAATTCTAAAGAAAGAAGCCAACCTGTGCAAAACATCCAGAAATAACTGCAAGATATTTAGTACAGGCCAACGGTGGATTTGATTGGCAGATTCTCTAGGAGGATGTTAGTTTTTCATCATCTTACTCTATTTAGAACATACACCAACAGGTAAAGCAGGTGCTCTGTTTTCATTAGATTACACACAAAATGGACAGCAATGGGTACTGGCTCGGCAAAAAAAAATCCAGCAACCAATTTAGAGAATAAAAATAGAGAGAGAACGAGCCATGTAACAAGTGCAATACATCTCTGACAAACAACCAAGATAAGCAACAGCTAATGACAAAAGAGAAAAGATTTCAGATTGCATTAACATCTACTACCCAGAAGTACACAGATCATAAGAGATTTCTTTCCAGAGCTCCTTATATTGAGTTTTCTCATATTAGAATGACTTTTCAACATGAGAGCAAATAAAAATGACTGAGTAAGGTTGCAGGAGAGAAGAAAAGTGAATAAGAAACAAAAAGATTACAGTTATTTTCCTGACCCTAGAAAATAAGATAACTCTTCCATACTATCATTCTTCCTCTAATTGATTTATTAGGAGTTGACATAAAATTTATCAAATGTAACTTTGAAAAATCTTTCCTTTTTTGAAAAGCATCTATCCTGCTGGCTGCAGCCAACAGTTTTGAACAAGAATGATCACCACAATGCTCCTTATGACTGAAATCTAACACAATGTAAGAAAAAAGCATTTAATGCCATACACAGTGAATTCTCTTTTCAAAGGCTCTAATAGAAAAGAGGGATTCCAATCTGTAAAAGAGTTGAGGGCCCTCTGAGCAAATTAAAGACCTATGGAAGGCAACTGACATTTGCTAGGTTGAGCTCTGAGACTACATTTAGCTCTGGATAGGCAAGAAATTAAAAATTTACCAGCTGAATACTTACAGATATTTTAAATAGTGTTTGTAAGCATTTTGGGACAGGGATCCTGTCTTTTGTTATGTGCTATTAAAATGGTTTACACAACTAGGTTCTGATTCAGGATTAGGGTTGGCAGATTATGATAATAATAGATTATTATAAAAAATATGATATTTTGTCAGTAGCATGATGACCACATTTGAGTATAAATAGCATTTTTTCTAGTATGGTGCTCAGTTGTTCCTAGCATATTCAGCAAAAAACTTAATAGGCAGCAACGTGAAAAGTGAAGATACTGGCTTCACAATAGCAGTGTAAAAACCCTTACACATCTGATCCTTTTGTTCCCTTCATTCTTCCTTACAAGAATTTATTATCAGTTCTCTGAGGCAATCTGACCAGGGTTTATTCTACCAAATAGCTAAATTTTGGAAAATCTTAGCATGCACCAAATCTTTAAAGAACTACTAAATCACAGCCAGACAATTTTTCACTTTTTTCTGTTTCATTGCTTTTGTGTTTTGCCACAATTCTGTATTTCAATATATGCCATTTCACTAGTAAAACAAAAGAAGTACGTGTTCATATATAACTCTTTCCTTTTGGGGAAAAAAAAAATCCCAAAACATTTCTCATATCTTTTTGTTTAAACTTCTAACCAAATTTATTTAATGCTATGACTGTCCCATCTTTATATTCAGAGAGGTGAAGAAATTTCTTCTGCAAGCACTTCTTCCATGGCTGCGTAACATCCTCTTTTCCAGAGAGGATGTACTTGTACAATGTGCAGTTAAAGTGAGACTTACAGAAAGTGATTTCTGCTATAGATGTGCATTCATCATCCAATCACTCTTTCTAAATTTTGTCTCATTACTAGATATGAGCATTCTATTAATTCTTACTTCAAGTCTTTTCTAATAAGCTTATTTGCTTTCTGTGTTGCCTTTAGATCATGGAAATGTTTTATACTTCCAGAAATTAACTTCTATACCCAGAGATAAAAACACTTAATAACTTTACCCCACCTCATATTATCTGTGAAATGCTTGAAGACATAACTGCCTGATTTTTAAGTGAAAGGATATTTGTTTGGCATATTAAAGTGTTAAGATCAGAACTTTTGAGCTACATAAGCCCTAAAAATGGTTTTTACTCATACTGTAACATTTCTTTGCACTGTTCTCTGTCACATCTGGTTGACATTTGCTTGATTGTCACTTCAATGATAAAAAATTATTCCCAAAAGTATTGTTCATAAATTTTCATTAAACTAATCATTTGACAAAGTCGTATAAAATTTTCAACTCCAATTGAAATAATGCACAAATAATAGATATTTAGCAAGAGTCATTTAGGAAAAGAAAACTCACTCCTGTTAGACTCACTGGAAAAGAAAAAAAGAGCTTTCTATAGATTGCCTACAAAAAACTAAATTAAGAAGATAGGTGATTTTATACCAGTTTAGCAAAAAAAAAAAAAAAAAAATTAATACTAATAAATTATCACGTAAATTTGTCTACTAGTAATAGTTGTGAACCAATATATGAGAAGAATTCCTGTACAGTGTGTTGCACAGACTTCATTCAACTCTGTATCAGACTTCATTAAACTCTTTATAATAAAGTGTTAAGCTACTATAACTTCTGTATACAAATATGGCTTTTAAATCATCTGTTGAGGAAAGGGAAAGTAAGTGTCTAAT